GATCTTTGTATGTTGTCTCATCAACGATAATCCAGATGGTTACAAGAGGGTTCACATCACGTGAGTTTGCCGGCCGGTCGTCCTTTGGTATAAAGTTTGCGAATTCTTCTGATGCCATGCCTGCATGAAGTTTGCACCGCCTTTTTCTTTTCAAGGCTTTCCAGCCTTTGTTGGTCACATATGTCCATACCGTTGTGCTCGAAACCTTGATATTGTGAAGTTGAAGTTTTCTTTGTACCCTGCAGTCTTTTTTAATTATTACGCATATACTTACAGCTTTTTCGATAACATTTTTCACACAGTTTGTAAAAAAAAACCGGCCATCTACTCCTTGGTTTGTCTTTTAAGGTCTTTACTTTTGACCACTTGTTCTCTCATCATTCAGACTTCTTCAACAATTTGACAATTTCTTTGACTAAATGGACAGAGCCGAGTACCGTAAATAGATGCCTCACTCTAGCACAAACAGTGTTCACTTCCATTTTCGTGAAAGAGTAGAGAAAACAAAAGAAAACGCCAAAAAAACGAAAATAGAAAACCTACAAAATCAGGCAGGAAAAGTATGGCGGGAAAAAATTCGCGTACGTGCAAGTTGGGAAAAAAAAAATTTAAAGAATATAATAATTTCTTCAAATTTTAGTTTGAAATTGCTTTGAACGGTTATTTAGATAAATTTCCTACCTGAATCGGTTTACATTTGCTTAAGGAAGCATTAAATTCTTTGCGCAAAATACAATTTACAATCGGAACGAACTTTTGAAACACCCTGTAGTCATTGAGATATAGTATCTATGGTCAACATTAATTTGGAAAAGTTAGCATAACGTCAAAACAGTGAATGTTAAGGCTAATTTCACATTCAAAAACTCATAAATAATTAATGAGCTCAACAACCTATCACGTCCGCTAAAATCCATCACGTGCTCGTGCTTTAAACCCCGGTAAAACACTGTCAAACTTTAAACATTTCATCCTCATTAGTATTCTTTACGTAAAAAATACTAATTAGGATGACATTTGATTTCATTGCATGTGACCTATGAATATTTTATTATCAGCACAACAACTGACACAACAAATGGTGGGTGAATATGTTCTTTCAAAATAACACACGCAGTAAATTTACTTTAAATTAAACTTTGGTCTTTCACCAATTTAATTAGCCAAAAGTTCAGTGACACAGCAGTAACATTGGCTATAGCAGTGTCCAAGCGTTGCACTCAAGACTTGTCAGTTCTGAATACGCAAGACTCGAGTACTGGATTTTTGTTTACCTACCATTCGGCCATTCCAGACTTTTTCAGTGAAATAGTTGACTTTGGGCTACCATTTTCAATTAACTTGCTCTCTCCCTCGGCATTTTTAGGCTTCCGAAAAGCTCTGGAACAAGACGGTATGTCCTCTTCGGTTAGGGAGACTGGAAAATTTCTAAACACCAGTGAGATTTGATTTTCTTGCATAACAATTTCGTACGTAGTGTTTTTTTCCTATGCTAATTTCCAACGTTCACAAAAGCGTCATTGTTATCAACTCCATTGAAACACGCTTTTCCGGGAATGTTTTTGTAGTCGTTCAATAAACCAGAGCCGTAGCTTGCGGGGGAGGGGGGGAGGGAAGGGGGGGGAGGGGGAAGCTGCCCCCCTGGACCTGTTGAGCCATACAAATCAAGTCTGTGGATGGATTTGTTTCTCTAGACTCAGTTATTATGATTTAGTGACCTGGAATTGTTTGCCATTTTCATGGCAAAGAAATTGGTTGGTCCACGGTGTGTGCAAATAGTAAGCAAAAGGTTAGTTAGCCAAACATCATACAGTATTGTGAAATGTTTAGTGTACTAGTGCTTGGATATACGGCGTGTTTCAAATTAACGGGACCTCGGAAATATTCACTTGTAAGCACTGAAAACACCTGCCTTTTTACACTTACTTGCGGTCGACGTTTCAGAGACATATCTCATGACAAGTGCTGAAAATAACGTTTCGGAGCCTCCGAATTTGAAAATTCTCTGGGGGAGGATACCCCCGACCCCCCCTACAAGGCTCGTGCCTCCGGCATTCGCCATAATACCCCCCGTTACAAAAAAACTAGCTACAGCCCTGTAAACTCGCGGGTCGGGTTCTATCGGAGCATAAAGCCACCGGGCGAGGCCGAGTGGCTTTATACCCCGATAAAAACCTCCCGCTCGTTTATTAAACATTGCGTCAAGAATATATATATATATTTTACCAATATTTCAGAAGGGACGGCGTTCCTTTTTCAGGGTCTTACATATAAGGAAAAGGTTAGGCTAAGACGTTTTAATTTGAAATAAAGACTAGCGTGCAACACGTGAAAATTTTAATGAGAAAAAAAAGTGAACATTGAAAGTAAGTGAAAACAAAAACCGGCGAAGTAGTGATTTGAAAGAAATTTAAAATGTAAAAATAATATAAATAAGTGGTAACAAATAGAAGAAATAAAGAATGTTAAGGTGGCCCGGACCTATTTATTCGGGCGTTCGTTATGTTTTTCACTCGCTTTTTCGACAGAAACGATTCAACCTATTTCTTTGATTTTTGGCATCCTTAATAAAGAATGGTAAAACTTTAAGAAAATGTTATCTTTTTTTTGTAGGTGTAAAACGCTCGAGATATCGTCATATGTTTAAAACCGCATTTAAAAAAAAAATGTCAATAACTTGGAAACCCTACTACAGATTTATCTCTAAATTCAGCAAATAGGCCCCAGAGCTCTCTAGTTTTATATCTGCAAGTTTGAAGTCAACCATAACCGTAGAACTCACTGCACAAAATGTTGGTCAAATTTAACCTCAAAATGCAACGCTAACATATTTGTGAATATTGACGCACAAATAGGAGAAGAGTGCCGACCATAGGCGTACGGACCGGGGGGCGAGGGGGACTGCAGCCTCCCAAATTTTGGGCAACTCAGATTTTTGGGCAGCGAGAGGAATTTGGGCAAAGCCAGTTTTTAAAGACGTTTCAATGTTTCTTTTTTATTCTTTCGAAAAGATAGATATTTTCTATTTTAACCTGAAGTCGTTGTGGTAAATCCAGTTAAATTCATACGAGACAGAAAGTTTCAACAGCGTATGGCAGATAGCATCAGCAATGGGTCTGAAAATGAAGAAGTGACTGACCAATTCTCAGTTTGAATTACGAGAAGCCAGGGCACTCAGACAGTCGCCATCGCGCTGTCTTCCAGCCCTTGTAGGTGAACAACGAAACCTTTTCCCGCGTTGCTAAATTTTACAAAGTCGACGGCGAGATCCTCGAAGCCGAGCAGAAAATGTACGCGAGTTTTCGTCGTGTACGTGGACAAGGCTACATGACTGTTTCAGAAATGCTTTAGACAATGCACGAGAATGATCTATTTGATATGTTTCCAGTGTTTTCTAATGTGGTACATATCTTTGGAATGATACCTGCTACATTGCATTGTGTTCTGCAGAATGATCATTCAGTACGTTGCGCAGATTGAAAACTTACTTTCGCAGCACCATGGGGCAACACCGTGCCAGTACTTTTGCACTTATTAACATTGAAACGGCATATGCGAACTCTGTAGTCAACAATGACATGAATCGTATCATTGGTATCTTCGGCCGTCAAAATGGCAAAGACAGCTATTAACGTGTTTTATGAGCTCATAAGATAGATTCATATGTAAAAAATTTTCACTTCACATGTGGGCCTATGTTGTTGCATCGTATGACCATCAGTTCTTTCCGATTGTTTCGTGAAAATTTGGGCAACATGCGAGAACTTTTGGGGCAAATTGCTCTGACCGCCCCCCTAGCAAAAAATTGCCCGTACGCCTATGTGTTCATCAAAATTAAATAAAATTAAAATAACACTAAGAATGAGGGGAGGAATTATGCTGATTGAGGATCTTCCTTTTAAGTCAAAAGTCAGAGGAGTGTTTGAGGAATTGTATGCTAGTGATTCTGATTCACAATTTAAATCTGAATTTTTAGAATACAAATACCCAAACAGTCTAACTGGCATGGACTCAGAAAACCTAACATTGCCTGATAAGTGTGGTCTTATAATTTCGGACCCTACGAAACAGCACTGTCGCAATAAAAGATGATTGCTCCTGAAGCCTGAACTAATGTGTAGTTACAGTCAATGCTCTTCAATCAAATGAATTGAGCACTCTACGAAATACATTCTACGCAGAATGTAAGTATATATAGACCCTACACAATTTTAGATTCCATAACACTTGAACATTAGGGCACAGTGGTTGCGATCTTAATTGATACTGTGCAAAATTAGCATTTAGATTAAGCACACGACTGCCCGCTAGAATCACGCAAAAAAAAAAAAAAATACTGATTGAAATCTCGCGCGATCGTTATACTATTTCGGCACTACAGACAATAAATGTAGACTCTTTAAGGATTTTGTCATTTCGTCTTCCACGAAGAAGTCACAAAATGGTTACTGCAAACAATTTAATTTTTTTTATGAAGGTTTATGATTAAAATATTACGTGAATCTTGCACTTAAAAGCCCCGTCAATTATACAACAGAAAACATCCACCCGCTAATAGACTGTTCGGTCGATAGGTTTCTGTCAGTTCTGAAAACTTAACATTGGTATATATAAAGACCTTGCACAAGTTTATTAAGTATCTTCGAGTTCATAGCTGTTTTTCTTCAAACGCCTGTCTTGAACATTAGGGCACAGTGATTGCGATCTTGTTCCTGTGCAAAATTCATGAAAATTTGCATTTAGATGAAGTACATGGGGTGTACGTTTGTATTTTAGACTGTACACAACTACAAAGATCGACTGCACAATGAATTCTGCTAATCAATTTTTAATCAAGCTGTCATGAATCACAAAGAGATCTGATTTTAATAGATAAATATTGACAGTATATGCTTTATATTATGTGCTCTATATTAATATAGTGATAAAGTTCATTACCTTCAAAAGGTTGGACCAGTTGTCTTAGACCCGAAAAAAAGGCAAAATTTTTGTCGGTGGATATGGCGACATTGTTTGGTCATATGAATTACTGGAAAATACCGGCAAACATTGCTGTAGAGACGGTTAGAAAAGCAATAACAGGAGCATCAACTGGTCAAGCAATATTTTTTAGCATTGCTTATTTGCTTGTTGCAATAACCTCTTTATTAGGGAACGCACTTGTTGTCGCGGCTGTATGGAAGGATCCATTAAAAACACTACGATCTTCTCCTTCAAACTTCATAATTCTAACGTTGGCACTTGCTGACTTTTTAGTAGGACTCGTGCTGGCTCCTGCCGCCACCTTTTTCTATATTCGCTTGGCAATGAACGCAGATCCATGGAATTTCCTCATCGAAATTCTCTTATTTTGCCATTTTGTCCAGTTAAGTGCGTCTGTCTATCACACCTTGCTGTTAACCGTGGACAGGTTTTTCGCCTTGGCAAGACCTTTAAAGTATAGACAAATAGTTACAAAAAGACGAGTGGCAGTTTGCACATTTGCGATATGGATCTTTGGCTTTTACTTCGCCTCTTTGTCGTGGATACTACAAGAACATTTTTTTGTACTTTGGTTCATGTACGTACTAGTCATTTTGCTTTCTTGGGAGTTTACTTGTTGTTTGTACTTTATAACTTTAAGGCATCTTTATAAACATCACAAGAACAGAATCATGGATGAAAACTCTCAGACAAACCAGGTTTTACTTCGAAAAAGAGAGACAAAGGTTTTCGTCGTTATCTTTTCAATCATTATTGCATTAGATTTTTGTTATACTCCGTGGATTACTACTCAGTTGCTATTTTTTTTCTGCCAGCCCTGTCATGAAAATTATCAACTGTGGGTTATCTTTTATCATGTTACAACGCTTCTTTTGTCTTTAAATGCAGCTCTAAATCCTTTAATATACGCTTTTAGATTTTCCAAATTTAAAGCCACCTTCAAATTTTTTCTATCCAAATGTTGTATTAAAAAAATGCTAGGAAGAAGACCAACATTTCAGATCTCCGAAGAAAGGCAAACATACAACACAAAGTTGTGATATTTGTTCAAAGATGAGGCTATCACGTCAACTAGTAACCAGACAGTTACAAACAGTTTTGCTGTTTTTACCTGAGCTTCACATTAAAATTAAATGTAATGCTTAGCGACTTTTGATTTTGTAGTATTATTTGAATAAATCTAATTACGAATTCATGACGAAAATGAAAAAAAATAGAATAAAATAAAATAAAAATAACTGTCGAATAGGTATCTAGCTAGGGTAGAACTGCAGGGCTTAAATTATTATTAGGCCGAACTAAAAACTGTATTATAAGTCTAAAAGTCTCCAAGAAAAGAGTACGAGTGGTAAAAAAATTAATTAAAACACTCCTACAGTTGTACAGTATTGCCTGTCTTTTGTTTACATAATTGAAAAAAAAAAAAACAGTTTATTTTTTTGTTTCAGTGGGTGGTGTGGATTCGAGATAGCAATTAAAGATTTCTTTTACTTATAGTTAGGGCCTCCTCACCGGTGCCCGGCCGGTTGACCAGACAGGCCCGCTTCGGCAGGACAAATTCCGCCTTGGATTAAAATATGAGAAATTTCAGCCCTCTTTCCATCGGCAACTCTTCAAGCTGTATCACTGCAGTTGAATGGGAAGCTTATGATGTGCAAAATACAGCAGGCAATGCAAGACGATACCATTCGAGACGCCAGAATTCATCCTGCTTTCATCCGGGTAACCGAGCTGAAGTGATCATATGGAAAATTTTCCAGTCCGCTTACCGAGATCCATACGAACACATACAGGATTTAGAGGTAAGGTGAAATCTTGAAACCGACTCAGTCCTGTCAACCGGGTTCATGTGAAGACGCCCTAAAGCCTGGTTTCCACCTCATCGTCCGGATCGTCCCGATAACCCCAGTCGTTTCAAAAAATTTCGAGACGATGCGGACGAAGGACGATTTGTGGTTTCCATTTGATCGTCTCGATCGCATCAACGACAAAAGACTCGGTGTCGTCAGCGATGTCTTTGGGTCAGACAATAGAATTTTTGCGCGTGTTTTAAAAAACAAGTAACACAATGATGGATTTTAACTATGGAGTTAACCTCAAGCCTTGTTATCTGCTTTGTCTTTCGATTTTGCAGCGTCGACAAGCAAGAAGAGTTCCACGAAGACATAACGGACTTTCTCTAGCTTCAAATAGCGCCTATACACGGTGCGAACATTTTTGTACTTTTTTTTACGACTTCAGCAGCGTCCAGGTCGAATTTATTCTCGATTACTGGAATAATAGTGATGATTTCTGGGATAGCCTTCGATCGTCCCAATCGTCTCAGTCGTCTGAGAGCGTTTCTATATCATCGCTTCCAAATTTACACGATCGTCCGGATCGTCCGGCGGCCATATTGGTGTCCCAAAACAATGAAACGGTGGCCATGTTGGTGTCCCAAACCAATCCTGTGGGAGTTGAACTCTTTTCTTATGCAAACGCTTTCTTTTGTTCCAATAAATTTCCATAGATGTTGGCCACGTGAGTGAAAACACTCTATAGACCTTATTCACGATACCCGCTATCTTTGCATGCGCCTTCGGATCGATGGGATATTAGCAGTGTCACGTGGTTTCTCAGGGGGCAAACAATGAATAAAATTTGCCAATGCAAGAAATCGCGGTCGAGTTTGTTTATTCTCTCAAAACGAGAGGACAATTTAATAGTCATGCAAAATGTACAGTTCAATTTTCGACAAGTTTGTGACATTGTTACCTGCTCTGAGGACATATTACGGTCGCTACTGCATCTAGAAAAGTAACAATGATCATTTTCACCAGGGGGCCCTGATTTTCACCCATAAGTTGCCATTATCGTCTTCAAGATAAAAAGTTCATCGTGTTCTGTTGTTTAGAATAAACAAACTCGACCGCGATTTCCTGCATTGGCAAATTTTATCACTTTTTGACCCCCTGAGAAACTACGTGATACCGCTTTTATCCCATCAGTCCTTAAGCGCGTGCAAAGATGGCGGGTATCGTGAAGTAGGTCTATTGCGTTGACGCCCAGATTTGTGCCCAGGCCACATTGGTGGGAGACGTTTTCAGTCTTTTCGATGTTCTGTCCTTGTTCTCCCTCTCTGGTGTAATGAACTGGCACATAACAAGGAAAGCTCCCCGCCCCTACCCCCTCAGTCTGAGACTCCTTTGTAAAATTCGTAGAACAGGCATTGTTAAAGTGCCGAGTGGCCTCTCCGAGTGGCCCCAGCAAAAGCCTGTTCCAGGCCTTTAGATAGTAGAGAGTAGCGCAAAATCAAGAGCGGAGAGGAAAACAAAAACCGGAAGAGAATGAGAGAGCGAGAAAGAAGAACTCCTCCTCCTCTCTTCCTACCCCCACCATATCACTTTTTTTCCTGCTGATCTCTCTTTGCGCCGTACTCACTCGTTCAAACCTGTATTAAGTGGACCTCTATTAAGCGGTCACTCAACAAAGTCCCGAAAATTGTTTTCCGTACCTGTAAAACTGACCTCTACTAAGCGGTCACCTCATTGTTCCGAGGTCCCAATGACTTATTTTAGATCAATTTAGGTGTCTGGGAAACTGCCCACCTACCCCTCCCCTAAGTCATCACTTTGCCTTAAGTGTTAATGTTAGCTTAGGGGAGGGGTAGGTGGAGAGTTTCCCAGGAACCTAAATTGATCCCTTATTTTTTGTTGTATTCACCTCTATTAAACGGTCACTCTGACAAGATGTACCATGCTCTGAGTGCAACAGATACATTGTGTAAGACTTTTTACTTCATTTCTATTGGCACAAGAAGAGGTAGAAACAGTTTGAGGTCAATTTGTCATAGCACAGATATTTCGTTTTTTCATCATCTTCATTTTCTTGAATAACTCTCACGTTTGTCAAACCTGTATTAAATGGTCAACCTGTACTAAGCCTTCAGTGAGCTATTCCTCAAGGGTGACCACTTAATACAGGATTGATTGTATCCGTGACTTGAGCGCCTGGAACAGGCTACCAAGGAAGAATGACCATTTTCATTTTAAGTTATAGGACGTGAACGATGTGAAATCAGAATACCTTGTTAGCATTAAAAAGGTGGGATGTTTTTCTTAAACACGCCGAACAACCAATCACAAAAGCAGATGCGAAGATAAAGCACTTGAAAAAAGCTGATTAAATACTGTAGAACAGAGAGCGGGGATAATATATAATGAAAAAACACCAGGATTTGGAGTAAAACTCGATACTTGCCTCATTATTTACTCAGGTGGGAATAAATCAGTAACTCTTACAGGTAAGTTGAGATATACCGTCGACCACAGTAGTTAAAATCAAAATTTTAAAAGCACTTATGATAATTCTGTGTAACTGTACAGTGCCAGGTTTTTCAAGGTAACGTCGTATGGCGGTATCCTTTGGATAAATCAGTTTACAGGGGATAAGTATCAGGGAAACCAGTTGCGCTATCCAGTGGATAGAGATTTCTCGGCACTGAATAGCGTTATCCGCGTTTTGAAAAACTGGAGCCTGATTTTGAAAATTAGTATCAGTAACAAGTGTATAAGCAAATGTTATTTTATGAATCATAACTATAACAACAACATGATATAACAAAATTCTCAAATCATAACTATAACTATAACTATAACAAAATTCTCAAATCTGATTGGCTATCAACTGTCCTGATTTCGGCAAGGACAGTACGCGCCGTCGCAGCGCGCACTTAAATGGCTCTTTTCACTGCCAACAGAAACTCTCGGAATTTCTTGTGTTTTAATTTAAAAAGCCTAAAATATCACAAATTTTGTTATAGTTATGATTAATTGGTAACTTTGGTAATTAAAAAATCGGGCTCCCGCTACGCCGTCATCCGATTTTTTTAATCACTTGTATGATTACAGACCGAATTGGACTCCACTCATTCCTATTACCATTATTTACACTTTTAAGCAATGTATGGCACCAGCCTCTCAATAAAACAGATCTTGCAAGGTGAGCAAACGACTGAATTTTATTTCTGGTTACGTGGTTCCCTTCATTCAAAGTTTGTTACAAGTATACGCACATGTTGCCAATTTATTAAAACAACAATAATTGCAACTCTGATTGGTTCCTATAGTCTTACTGTTCAGGAAGAAAAGTAAAAACATCACTGCCAAAAATAGGTTATTTGGCCCTGATCGAGATTTGCTTATCTTGTGTAATTTGTGTTTTGTTCTTGTTAAGACATTTGCTTTGTTCTTGTTAAGACATTTGCATATATCCGCGATAAAACGGGTTGATAATAGTGATGAACTGTTATCTAAGTATTTGATTCTTCAAGCTGAGAGGACGTTGTCTCACGTTATTTTTCTAAAGGTTCGACTGGTGTTTTGATAAAGACTGCCTATTTTTTCACAGAGGTGTGTTCGACGCAAATACATTTTTTCCTCTCAGGTCTACAAACCATTTTCCATGGTTATCCACTTTGGTGGTTTAAGCCTGAAAGAGGTGCTCTGCAATAAACCCGACCAATTGTAGACTGAATGGGAATGAAAGTCCATAGCAATAGTTTCTCAAGAAGTTCATACGGTCTTGAACTGATCTTCAATTCCATGGAAACCAACATCAGTATCGCAGACGGTCTCAACACCCATCAACTCATATCGAATTTTATGGAAACCAAGCGAATGTTTGCTCTCGTCATCGGAGTTATCATGGCCATTCTTTCTCCTCTAATCGTTGCAGGAAACGCATTGATTATTCTCGTTGTTTGGAAAGACCCTTTGAGGAATCTTCGCTCGTTCACTTCTACCTATATATTGTTGTCAATGGCCGTTGCAGACTTTTTAGTTGGTGCCATATTGTGCCCTTTAAATTCTGATTGGTCGCTGTTGATCAGAGCAGGAGATAAACCGTCTTTCTCCATACGCGTGCCACTTACGATAAATGCCGTACTTACCAGCGTGTCCATTGGCCATGTATTATTACTGACAATTGACAGACTATTCGCACTGCTTACACCGCTTCAATATCGTGTTAGAGTCACTAATAGGCTCGTCTCCATCACGGC